CTGTCACTACTGAGAACAGCCTCTCTCCAGCCTCTTTGGAACCTCCCTTCAGGAAGTTGAAGGCTGCTGTCAAATCCCCCCTCACTCTTCGCTTCTGCAGACTGAACAAACCCAAATCCCTCAGCCTCTCCTCGTAGGTCATATGCTCCAGCCCCCTAATCATTTTGGTTGCCCTCCGCTGGACCCTCTCCAATGCGTCCACATCCTTTTTGTAGTGGGGGGCCCAGAACTGGACACAATACTCCAGATGTGGCCTCTTCAGCAGCCTACATTCTTCTGCTCAAACATACCCCTCTTCCCAATTACAATTTGTGCCTGGAGCTTGCTCTGCAGCACACAAATGACATGGATACCCTTCTGGGGCCACAACGCTCCCCCCTCACACCCCCACACTCCCTACCCGGGAACAGAGGACAGCTGTCCTCAGCACAGTTCGCTCACCCATATGGAACTCTTACACTCTGCAAGTTGGTGTGTATTCCCCCAAAATAACAAGTGATCTCATGATTCATTGTTTAGTGTGAGTAGTTTGGAGGTGGGAGGTGGTTATGGGTTTGAGAAAACACAAATATAGAGTATCAGGGTACGTCGAGACTACAAGCCTCTTTTGAAAGATACTTTCAAAAAAGAGTGTCCAGACTGCCTGGACACTCAGTCGAAAAAAGGGCACCCAGAACCACTTCTGGCAGGTCATGGGGGCAGCCTTTACTTCCAGGTCCTGCAACATGCTCTTTGTAGATGTGTGCTTAAAGGGACCCCCCCTGGGCAGCCATTCCTCTGCTGCTGCAGCTGGCTTGCCTACCTCCTAGAGGGACAGCAAAACTTCCGAAGTGCTTGCTTTGGGTGCCCTGCTTTCTGGGACACCACAGCAGTTTGGTTTTGGTTGATTTTTGTGTTTTAGAATCTTATTTTTGCCATGGAGCCGGAGCTGACCCTGGGCAGGCGATGGCCCCACACTGTCATACTTCAAGTTCTGCTGCATCTACATGAGACCATTCTGAAGCTTGTGCCAGATCTTGATTCTGAACCCAGCCTTGAGCCCCTCACTCGGGCTGCAGCACCACTGGCCTTGCCACCCAACTTATTTCTGGACAGGCGATTTTGGAGGCTGGACACAACTTCAGACTGGTGGGACCAGCTCGTCATGGAGCAGTGGGCCAACCAGCGTTGGATCCGAAACTTCCGAATGCGTAAGGCCACATTCCAGGAGCTGTGTACTTGGGTCGCCCCTGCCCTGCAATGACAGGCCAGCCCCCTGAGACCTGCCATCCCCCTGGAGAAGAGAGTGGCTATTGCCCTCTGGAAGCTGGCCACCCCAACTGCTACTGTTTGGTGGGACACCAGTTTGGCGTGGGGAGATCTACTGTTGGCACCGTGCTGATGTAGGTAAGTCCCTCTCAGAGGACAGTCCATGCAAGGAAGGGGGAATGTAAAAGAGGGACTGTCAGAAAGGGCAGAGGGAGTGGGGGATGGAGTGGGACTGGGGGAGGGCTCCTGCCCTACTGCTAGGAGGAGCCACCTGGGGGGGCCTCCTGGAGTCTTGGGGGGGAGCATCCCATCGAGCAGCCCAGTACATCAACAGAAAGGGCTACTTCTCCATGGTGCTGCAGGCCCTGGTTGACCACCCCACACAAATGTCTATAAACTTTCTCTGGTGGTCGGGCTGGGCACATGATGCCCACATCTTCAGAAATTCCTACCTGTACCACAGGCAGCAGGCTGGAACACTCTTTTAGCAGCAAAACTTTGTTGTTGGGGATGTAGACATGCCAATGTGCATCATGGCCAATGCGGCGTACCCCTTTATGCCCTGGCTCATGAAGCCCTACACTGGCCATCTGGACATGAGCAGGGAACAATTTAATGTGCACCTGAACTGGGCTCGCTTGAAGGTGGAATGCGCCTTTGGATGGCTGAAGGGGAGGTTTAGGTGCCCACTCACTCACCTCGACATGGGAGAATGCAATATCCCTGAGGTGGTGGCTGCATGTTGCATTCTCCACAACCTGGTCGAGAGCAAAGGAGAGGACTTCCTCCCAGGGTGGGGGACATGGGCTGATGTCGAGGGGAGGCAGTTCAAGCAGCTCCGGACAGCTGCCATCCGCGAAGCACATCAGTTGAGGGTCTGCATCCAGGAGGCCCTACGTGAGAGATTCTTAGCAGGAGCCCAGTGACTCTCCCCAGGGCCTTCCCAATGGGGCCTGTAGCCTGGCCCCCACCCCACAAGACCTTTCCTCCCACAACCCACCCCTGCACCAGTCTCCGGACAGTTAACACACACACACACACACACACACACACACACACACACACACACACACACCAGGTTTTCTGACAAAATCATTATGGCTGTGTCTAGACTGGCAAGTTTTTCCGGAAAATCATCTGCTTTTCCAGAAAAACTTGCCAGCTGTCTACACTGGCCACTTGAATTTC